CGGCTGCACCTGGGCTGTGAGGGGCAGGGCCAGGGTCTTGGCTGCACCTGACCTATGGCTTGGGGCAGGGCTGAGGCACCAGAGGCAGGTGGCTTCAGCCCTGTGCTCTCCCCTCTGTACCCCTTTGAGCCATTAGCTTGCCCAGGATCAGTAGGAACAGGCCCCTTTAGCACTCCCAGGGCCAGTAACTCAGGGGAAGCAGCAAGGAAAATAGATCATTTCCTCACCCAACACAGGTGGGAAGGCCCTAGTCACTCTTCTCCAGATTCCGGATCCCCTCATGGGGGCTGGGTCTCACATGGTCCTCATAAGGGTGCTGCATCATCATTTTGGGTCCCTCAGGCTCAGGTTCATCTGCCCTCCCAGAAGGGTCTGTGCTTTAGGAGATTTGTAAAAAGTGGGCAACGCCTACCCCAAAGAGCTAGCAGCACCAAGCATAGGACTCCAGGCACCTGCATGGGAGCTGGTGAGTGGGGAAGCCACTCTGAACAATGCAGTGCTGGAGAAGTGAGCTTCCACCTCCGGAAGTCCTCGTCCTGCTCCCCCCACCACACCCCTGTTTCTCCCCAACAGAAAAGGAGATGAAAACTCAACTTCTTTGAGGATTTATTGGGTCCAGGGGGGCCTAGCCAGTGCTTAGCTGGAGGCTGGCTGTCTTGCCCTCCAGCATCGCCCCGGAAGCCCCTGCACCAGGGGTGCTGGCCAGATAATCTGTCCTGAGGTGTCCAGTTACTGAGTTCTGCGTTCTTCCTGAGTGTCTACTGCCATGAGGTGACTCGGCCAGGCAACTGGGGGTCCCAGGTGCCCAGTTTGCCATGTGATCTTGGGCATATTCCTTGCCCTCCCTGAGCCTCAGTCTCCTCATCCTCCACGGGAGGATGTAACTTTCCTGTCAAATGACAGCGCTGAACCCACCCGGGGTCCACTCCCCCTCAGCATCACAGATTCCAGGGAAGTAGTCAGAGTTCAGGTTCAGCCTCTGTCTGTGACTCGCTGTGGCCGCTGCTCCTTGAAGCCTTTGTCTCTAAGCTTCCATCTAGCTCAAACCCACTCAGGTACCAGTGCCTTGGATCCTGGGGAGCCAGGCACCCACATGCTCTGGCAGGAGTGGGAACTGGTACAAAGCAGGTCAGTGCACAGGCCACGTACTAGGGTGAGGTTAAGAGGAGCTGGGCTTCCCCAATGACGGGTAGAACTTGCGCAGGCTGGAGTCCAGCAGGAAGTCCACCGACCTAGGGAGGGTGAGGATGAGCGTGGTCAAAAGGTGGCCAAGGGGTGCTGACCAGGGAACAGGAACAGGTGACTAGGGCTAGGGAAAGGGACTCTCAGATACAGGATACAAATGCCATCCAGGTGGAGACCCATCCTTATACTGCTTCTCCCACCTTGGGCTACTGGGGAAAGCCAGAATCAAACCCCCAGAATAGCAGCCATCTTCCTCTTCATTCAGTTGGGAGAAACTGAAGCACAAAGCGGGTAAAGGACTCTCTCAGAGCCTCGAGGTCAGTTATGTTCCCATGGCAAAAGACTGACCCCATCTCTGGTTCTAAGACCAGGCCAATGAAAAAAGGAAAATTGGCTCAAGGGTGGGTACCCAGTCTGGGATAGACCAATGACAGCCTCCTTTGGGATTCTTGTCACTATTAAAAAGTCAGGATGGAGAGTAGCGCAGCAGGCTGTAAGACCCAGACCCCAAGGACATCATTTAAGTAACAAGATCCAGCCATGCCCAAAAGCAACAAAACCCTGGACTTTTATTCCTATTTTATTTCACCATTCTATTTGAGTTAGGCTTCTGTCACCAACACCTCCCCACACCCACCCCCTCCAGGGTGCCCCCCACTCCTGCCTGCCTCTGGCCTTTTAGTAACGCTAGAATTTCTTTCTGGGAATTTGCTTGGCCCATACCCTCAAGGCACTCTCTTGCTTTCTCGCTAAAGTACCTGCCACATCATATGACAAGGACACAGACTGTCCTTTCTACCTCAGACCTGAGTGCCAGCCCTGCCTCTGTGTTGTTCTGTGCAAAGTGGGCACACTCCACGCCTCTAGAGCCTAACTCTGCCCATAGAGTAGATGATCTCTGAGGCCAGGAGGGTACCCACCTGTCAATGGGGTGGATAATGATGGGGATGGTCAACAGCCCAAGCGCAGTGGTGGTCCACTTGCGGACAGCCAGAGGCCAGCGGGTGGCAGTGCCCAGGACATAGAGAGAGGCAGCACACACACGGTTGATAGTGAAACCTGGAATGGCCACAGAAGCCAGAGCTTGCCATACAAAGGTGTCCACTACAGCCACGGTCACCCTTGTGCTGCGGCCTGCTTCAGGGCTTGGCACCTGGTGGGCACAGAGACACTTAATTCAGTTGCAAGAAATATTGTGCAAGGAGCATGAGTCTGCCCAGGGAAGGGCAAGTGGCCAGTAGGGAAGGGGTTGGGACAGAGGGAACTGCCCTAGTGTTGAGCTCTGGACTGTACCACATTCAGGGTTAGGGGTGGGGGTGCACTATGCTACAAATAGGGCCAAAGTATGGGGCTGCACCAGGTAAGCTGTGGGAACTGGACTGTCCCACGAGACTTTATCACATGCAAGGCTGCAGACTGCACCACAAGGAAAGTGGGCTGGGCTGGGGATGGAAAACAGGCTAACACTCACCTCTCCCGCCTTCTTGCCTTTGTCAATGGCATCCGCCAGCACGTAGGAGCTGGCCACACCATAGCTCAGCCACACCACAGCAGCTGGCACCAGGGAGCGGAAAGCCTCCCCCACCTCATTGGCATAGCCTGTGGAGAAGGGATAGGAGGTGCTGGTTCTAATCCTAGCCTGCCAAGCAGTAGCTGGGTGAACATAGGTGAATGCCCCTGGACACTAGGGCCACTGAGGGAAAGCTGAGCACAGTCACCATTATTATTGCATACGGTTAGATTTCCCAACCCTGGTCCTAACAGTATCTGCACTCATGAAGTGACAGCAGCCAGAGAGTCCGATCAAAGACACTCGCCATGTGCCAGGTCTTTCTGTTCCTTTCCTCATTCCGCCCTTACAACCATCACCCAGTGAGAGTGGCTGTCACGTTCATTCCTTTCTGCAAAGGAGGAAACTGTGGCTCAGACAGAGCCAGTGAGTGGCAGGCCTAAGTGGCGGTCCTGACATGCACCCCACAGCTAGCTAGAGTGCATGCCAGAGAGGGCTGCCCGCTCACCCAGTTGGACCTTCCACCAGTGTAGTGTGACCTTGGGCAAGTCCCTAGCCCCCTCTGAGCCCAGTGTCCAGCCCAAGGAGAATGAGAACTAAGGCCCCGGGCCGGCGTCCGGCGACCCCTGCTGCTCCCCTTGCGGGGAGCGGAGAGGAGGGAAGGGGGAGGACGGAGAGGGGTCGCCGCGCCGGGGGCCCGTGCTCACCTAGGTATCGCACCCACGTGTCCCGGTAGAGGTCGCGCTCGGTGCCCCGCGGCCGCGGCTCCGACATAACTCTCCCGCCGCGGCCTCAGCCACTGCAGCCGGCACTGGCTCCGCTGCCGCCTCCGCCTCCACTAGCACTCGGGTCCGTCGGGCCGGGACCCGCCGAAGGTCCCGGGCTGAAGGACAGGTCAGGCTGTCTCCGCCAGCAGGGAGCGTCTGCAAATTCCACCGCGCACCGAAGCCCCTCTCCCAGACTCGGGTTTTGCAGATTGGATTCTTCACGTTTTCTCTGAGCCGTTGGCGCGAACCTCTCCGAGGGCTGAGCGTAGTTTTTCTTTCTTTTTCTTTTTTTTAGAGTTGGAGTCTCACTCTGTCGCCCAGACTGGAGTGCAGTGGCCGCTCCCGGCCACCGCAGCCTCGCCTGCTGGGCTCCGGCGATCCTTCCGCCTCAGCCTTCCGAGTAGCCGGAATTACAGGCGCGCGCTACCACGCCCGGCTGATTTTTTGATTTATTGTAGAGATGAGGTCCCGCTGCCCAGGCGGGTCTCGAACCCGCGGGCTCAGGCAATCCACTCACCTCAGCCTCCCAATGGCGCGGGATTACAGGCTGAGCCACCGAGCCCGGCTTCAGTGTAGTTTTTTGAGCCAAAGAGGCTGCACATGAAACCGGGAGATGCTACGCTTCATAGCTGTGTGACTTCGGGCGAGAGTCTACTTCTCTGAGCCTCACTTTATTCATTTGTAAAATGAGGGATACGACAGTGCGCACTCCCTGGGAGTTGCAAGGATTTATTATAATTCATCGTCTATTGAGTTTACTGCCAGCCAGGACATTCGCTAAGGACTCTAGGAGGTTTCCCTCCCACCAGCCTGGGATCCTGTTTTACGGTGAGGAAATAGAGGCACAGAGAAGGTGGGTCACTTTGTCAGGGCACACAGCTGCTAAGTGGTGAAGCTGGGATTTGAATGCAGACGGTGTGGCTCCATAACCCACGCTCTTAAGATGAGCTCAATGAGGCTGGGGGAGTGAACGGTGAGCACCCTGGAGATGTGGCTGCCTGGACTCTGAAGTCCCTTCTCAGCAGGCGCCCTTGTTTATCAAGCACTCAGATCTCACTGGCTCACTATGATCCCAAACTGAGGCTTTTGGTGGCAGATGCTAAATGAATGAGGAATGCATGAATGCATGCAGGCATGAATGAATGAATCAGGGAAAGGAGACAGGGTTAGCTTACAATACTTTAGGAAATGAGCAGAACAGAATGAGGGGACTTGGGGGTCAGTGATTACAACTGTTAGAAACCCCCTGTTGGACCTCAGAATACCCGTGTGAGCAGTACTGCACTTCGCTAAAACTGAATCCTTTGAAAATTGAATCTTTTGATGGTATCAGCGAGGCAAGGCAGCGGCAATTGGAGCTAGGTAGTCCTGAGTTCAAATCCCAGGTGGTGGCCTATTAGCTGTTAGACTCCCTGAGCCTCAGTTCCCACGTCTGTAAAAAATGAGAGTGGCCAATATTTACCAGCCCTCCCGCATAGAGGTTCTCTTCTAACACTTTGCACTTATTTCCTTTAATCTTTGTAAAAATTCACAACTGCAAGCACAGGGTTTTCGCGTAGTACCTTGTAGCCCTCAGCTCAGCCTGTAATCCCGCGCCTTTGGGAGGCTGAGGTGAGTGGATTGACTGAGTCCGCGGGTTCGAGACCCGCCTGGGCAACCTGGCGAGGCCTCATCTCTACAATAAATAAAAAATTAGCTGGGCATGGTAGCGCGCGCCTGTAGTTCCAGCTACTTGGAAGGCTGAGGCGGAAGGATCGCCGGAGCCCAGCAGGTCGAGGCTGCGGTGGCCGTGAGCGTGCCACTGCACTCCCGCCTGTGTGACAGAGTGGGACCCCTACTCAAAAAAAAAAAAAGGAATTAGCTCTTATCATCAAATAAAGACAGGGAAAGTAGACACAATTGACTCCCTATTGAGGCCCCGTTTTCAGTCCTAGGCACCTCTGTCATCGTAGGGCCCTGTGGGGTTACCACAAGGGGAACTGGACTCGTGGGTAAGGGGGGCGGAGCCATCCCCAGTCCCCGAAACACCAGCCGTGCGGGCGCGGAATTGGGAGACGCTCCCTAAAGCCACGTGACCGCCGCTCCTCCGCTTCCCTCCCGCTCGGGACCCACCGCGGGCCTGGCGAGCGCTTTCTGGGACTCGCTTGGCGCGCACCAACCGCAGAGCACGTACTCGGCAGCCAAGTAGGGCGGGGCCTACGCCCTCACCGTGAAGGCGGCCGGGAGGACCTTTAGTGCCCTGAGCAAAGATGGCGGAAGAACACGCGCCGGCTGGACCAATCAGTAGGCAAACTAGTTGTTGGCCCCTTGAGAAAGCTCAGGAGACAGGACCGCAGCAGAGGGGTTTTGCGCATGCGCTCCGCTTTTCCTTGTGAAGCCGCTGCTGGGCTCCTGAGCCGCGGTAACGTTTGGGCTCTGAGTGAGGGCTGGTGAGGAAGCGAGCGGTGGGGATTGAAGTCCACTCCTGCGCACAGAATGTTGCTTTATTCATTGGCTAATTTTCCTAAAGCGTTGTAAACCAAGGCCGGGATATCCTCCTGAGCGGTCCGGCTGAGGCCCGTGCGGCCTTGGCACTTGGGTCTTCGCTAACTCTGCCCTTGCCCCTAGCTCCCTCAGCTTCGCGAAACGAGCTTCTCAACCTGTTTTACGGGAATGGAACCCCCGCGAGGCCTGGGGCCGTCTTCCCGTGTTCAGTGCAGCCCAGGACCTGGGGTTCGTTCGCAGGGCATGTTTTGTGGTTTTGAGGCTGGCTGTGGCCGTCCCCAGCCCCTGGTTCTGCGAGATGCTGGTCCTACCTTTGGCCTCCTGCCTGGGCAACTTCCTGGCCTGGCTCTGTCGACAGGCACTAGGAACCTGCTGCACCCGTTTTATGCCTCCCACGGAGATGGGACTGCCAAGGCCTCGCTCGGGTCAGCCAGGAAGCAGGTTGGTGGGTCACGTGGGAGACTTAGACTGGGAAATACCCTTTCTGAGTGCCACTGCTCCTTGATCCTACTTATCATTTTTGTTTGGGGCGCTCAAATGGAAGATTACTTGGTGAGAAGCCGGTAGCACTGAAAAGGGGACTGGAAGACCCCCCCCCTTTAGGGTTCTCTCCCTGGCCCTTCCCAGAACTGTGATCCCTGGAGGTAATTTCCCTTGTGCTTTGTTTCCATTGCAGAACAGTGGGTGAGTACCAGAAGACCCAGGAAACTCTGAGTCACTAACAATCGTTAGTAATTAAAGAGGCAGGCAGTGGGGCCCAGAAGTTGCTGGGGTTCTGTAGGTAAGGGAGAGGCCTGCCTGCCTACCCCTGAGTGGGAAGATATGTGCTGACTCAGGGCACCTCCTGAGACATGGGAAAAGCCATAGCCCAGTCTCGGTGATAAAAAGTTTGGAAGACTCTGACCCCCACCATAACTCTAGCAACCAGCTACCTTGCTACTCCTCATTGTGATTTAAACTTACATGTTCATTTGGGAGCAAGTTCCTCCCCTGCATCTGAATTCCCTGAAGTGTTAGGTCTCAATCTTTCTCCCCTTTTCTAATTTCTTCCCTCCCTATCTTAACTGCCATTAGACAAATGAAGTTGGCATACTTTCTAGGTAGAGCCTATCACAGTGACCAGCCCAGGGGACTCCTTGGTAATTTGAGGCAAGGAGACTCCACTCCAGCCACTCTTCTTAATTCTGAAATGAAAGCACCCCAGATCCAGCCCGAGGTCTTTCCTTCAGCCCAGTTTCATTGGGCTGCAGGGATGTGGGGAAATGACCGCTACATGGCATAGAAATTGGCAGGGAGACACTGAGGGGGCCAGGCCTGCTATAGGAGGAGGCATTATTTGGGGGTGTCTGCCCCCAGTTGTTTCATCTTCTCTTCTGAGGCTTTGTCTGGAAGCAGGACCTCCACAGTGAAACTGACCTTCTTGGCATGAAGGAAACTGTAGGTGTTGTCAAACCGCAGGACATCTGAGGGGAGGCAGAAACCAGACATTCAGGCCGTTTGACAAAGCGCTTGGGGACAGCAATTTTTGTTGATTTTTATTGACTGAGCAAGGCAGTATGTTAGGTAGTGGGGATGAAGGTAGCAAAAGCAATGGTTCCTGGCCTTTTGAAACTTAATCTAGCTAGGCTGACAAGACATTCATAGAGAGAAGAAACATGAGGCAGAGCATGCCAAGTGCCAGATGAGTGACAGAGACAATCACATCTGGAACAGTTTGGAAGAAGAGGCCTGGCAGACCGAAATCATGAAAAAGCTTTTTGGAGGAATTAGAGCTTGAACTGGGCTTTAAAAGAGAGGAATAGATTTACTAACAGGAGTAGTTGTAATAGTAGTAACAATGGCTATTTATGTGTCAAAATAGTGGGTTGGTAAGCTATATATGTTATCTCTTCTCACAACTGTGAGTTCAGCATTAGTCTTATTACAGTCGATTAAAAAGTAAGTCATGTGACATACACAGTGAGGAAATGATGGAACTAGAATTTCCCTCTGGTCCACATCATCAATATTGCTGCCTTTGAAATATAAATGGACAAGGATGCTCATTGCATCCCTGTTTGTAATAATAAAAGATTGGGAAAACACAAGTGTTCATCAAAGAAGAATTGCTTAATTTCATATTATAATTCATATTATACGTGTGACAGAATACTATTCTGATATAAAAAGTAAGAGGTTTGCCCCCACAGAATTGACTGAAGAAACTGTCTGCAATATATCCTGAGGCCAAAAAAGTTGCAGAAGTCTGCAAGTAGTTTGTAATATTTTTGTTAACATATACATAAGCCGGGCTCGGTGGCTCAGCCTATAATCCCGCGCCTTTGGGAGGCTGAGGTGAGTGGATTGCCTGAGCCTGCGGGTTCGAGACCTGCCTAGGCTACTTGGTGGACCTCATCTCTACAATAAATCAAAAATTAGCTGGGCGTGGTAGCGCGCACCAGTAATTCCAGCTACTTGGAAGGCTGAGGTGAAAGGACCGCCAGAGCCCAGCAGGTGGAGGCTGCGGTGGCTGGGAGTGGCCACTGCACTCCAGTCTGGGCGACAGAGTGAGACTCTGACTCAAAAAACAAAAAAACAAAAAAAAAATACATAAAAAACTTTTTTGACTTTAAGCTCTGGTCTACTTACATTTCCCGGTTCTTTTTGATGATGCCACTCAGCTACGTGTTCTAAAGGGAAGGTTTTCTCAAATTCTGTGATGAGTTTTGCAGTTTCAGAATTTTTTAAAACATACACTGAATGACAGACATAATTCCTGTGAATGTATACATGTGTGTATGCCCTGTTTATTATGGAAATATGTAATGCCTCTAGAGGGATGGAAAACATTTGGTAGGATAATAGATGTGTTAACAGGGTTTCCTCTGGAAAGAGAAAATAGGCATGCAGCAGGCCTATTTTCCAAGCCTTGGCAAAGAACAGACTGCTTTTAATCCTGTTTCTTTGGGAAGTTGTTCCATTTCAGCTAAACACCCCTTCAAGAGAATTGAGTGTGAAAACACAAACACTAGCTCTGCCCTGTACCTTATCCTCATCTTTTCTCACTTTTCCCCACAAGAAAAAAACAAGACAAAAACCCTGTATTTAATCCAAAGACTTAGCCTTTTCCGACTCTGGATAAAATGCATAGTTTAGACCAAGGGTAGACACAACACCCACTCTCTCTTCATGGTGCAAAGCATTAGTCACCTATTTTCTCTCAGAGGTCTTTCAGAACCAATAATTCCCCCAGAAAGAGTGAAGTGTCCTCTCTGTCCTGGATGACAGAGGCTTATCAACCAGAGTCATCCATGCTGGAGGAGAGGTTCTTTGAGTTCCTTGGACCAAGTACCAGGATCAAGATGGCTCTGCCTAGCAAGATATTTGGCTTAAGAAGCGAGGAAGGGGTTGATCAGAGGCACAGGCCCTGAGGGAAGTAGAGTCACTGCAGCTCCAGAGTGCCTGGTTCATTTTGACACTAATTGTGTACTCACAGACTGATAGAGTCCCCAGAGATCCTTCAGGCTAAGACTCCTTAACTGTTGTTGGGGAACTCGCCCCCTTGAGACTGTGATGAAAGCACACAATTTCAGATTCTCTGGGGCCCATCATAGATTCTCTAGGGCAGTGGTTCCCAAGGGAAAAGGCATTGTTCTGAAGGGGCACAGGGAGGGTGGTATAATGAGATTATGCCTCTCATTTATGTATTGGGAAAATATACATTCTAAATTAGCTTCCTTTTATTTCTCTTTGATATTACAGATATATTGATCTTTATATGGTATGTAGGTGGGTTATATTATTTATAAATTTCATTGCAGAATAGTAAAAGGGACATTAGACACTATTCGCCATAAAAGGGAAGTTCTTGGTCTTAGGATTTGGAACCACTGCTCTGGGGGTCCCCAGATTAAGGTTTCCTGCTCTAGTCTACTCCCCTCATTTTAAGGAGGAGGAAAGCCAAATCTTACTATTTAGAGACACTTGCTCAAAACCCTGGGAGAGTTAGTGGCAAGCTGGACTCAGAACGCAGGTCTCCTGGCACCTGGCCAGGCTCTCTCTTTTCACTGCAGCATTGCCCAGCAGTGCTTTTTAACTTTCCTATGGTGTTTCTAGTCTTCTGGACCATACTGTGCACTGCTGGTGGACAAAGTCCAGATCTTTCTGTCTGAGTCTTCATTCCTTGTCTAGCATTATGTATTCAGTAGGTCCTCAGCAAATATTAGGTGAGATAACAAAAGTGAAATCAATTCAAATGTTGGTCCTCCTCTCAGTAATTTAGTACACTTGGACAAGGACCAGAGAAGCCTAGGGAGAGTTAATGTGCTCTTGCCATTGAAGGCTGGCACAGAGTTTTAATTTCTTCACTGGGTGACTATGTTTCACTTTGCAGAGGGGTGCCTGGTTCTCCAAGGGCATCACCCACCCTCAGGTGAGCTTGTACCTAACACTGGGTTCTCTCTGGGCTCAGGTCTAACCTGAGCCATGGCCCCAGGCATCAGCTGATCCCACTCCATTGTCTGTACACCTGGGAAAGGGAAATGGATGCTGGGGCCTGACTCTGCTCATCCTAGAAATGGGCAAGAAGCAGATCCCAGTCAGGACCCTACGGGCAGGTAAATGTTCCTGTTGGGAATGTATCCAAGAGGAACTAATGTAAATTTGGGATTTGTAAGCCTAAGCCTGATTATGTTAAAAGGTTAATGGTCCCTTCTCAGGCTGTGTCCTTCAGATACTAAAGAGAAGATGAAGGGGTAATGGGAAATGCTGGAAAATGGGCTAGACTCTTCTACTGGCTCCAGACCTTGGATAAACAACTTCCTTAATCTGGGACTCCACACTCTCCTCTTACAGCATCAAGGACAGTCTATGGCCAAGGGGTCCTGGACTCTAGGGTTCTCTGGTGTCTTCTGTCTTTTTTGTGTCTACACAAGCTACTTTGTGGGAGAGGTAACATCCCTTTTATAACTCAGCTTCATCCATTAAAAAAAGAAATTCAAGCTTGTATGTATGAAGTACTTTATCCTCTGTGGGGGTGACATTGTCTAGGCTGGTGTTAAGCTTTGTTCTCACTGAAGCACAGAGTATACGCCTTCTCCCACAGGACCCGGCTGCTCACTAACAAGAATACTCCCCCTCCCCAGGGAGCTATGGCACCACAGAGCATCTGTGAGGAGGGGGCGGTAGAGACTGAAGGTTGCCTGGGATGTGAAGGAGGTAGTGGAATCTCAGCTTGGGTGATGGTGTGGACAAGCACAGAAGCCGTGACATCTGTGGGCCTTGCTCAGATTTCCTGGCGGCACTGCCATGGAAATGGGGCATAGGGCTTCTCCTGTCTCCTAGTATTAGCTCCAGAATGGCCCCTCTCCCCTAGGCCTTGCTCTAATAATAATGGTGACTACAGAGTATTGAAAGCTTACAGCATGCCAGGCATGATACTAAGTGCCTCACAAGCCTTATCACATTTAATCACCAGGTATCCCTGTGAGATCCTCAGTGTAGCCATCAGGAAACTGAAGCTTAGGAAAGCTACATCACTTGCCTAAGGCCACGCAGCTAGCCAGTAGTCAAGTCCAACTTAGGTCTGATGATAAGGCCCTTGCTCTCATTGATTTTTCCATTGGCTGTGACAGGAAACTGGAGATTTGAGTGTGTGTGTGTGTGTGTGTGTGTGTGTGTGTGTGTGTGTGTGTGTGTATTTTCTGCTTATAAATGTAGTACACAGTCCTTGATAAAATATATTTGCAGGAATAGTGTACAAATGAGCATCCTACCATTCCACAGATAACCATTCTACAGATAACCAGATCCTACCGTTCCATAAGAATTATTTTCTGTGTACTCATTTTTTTTTTAACCAAAGTGAGTATATACCACACATGCTATGTTTTATGTGTATTTGTTTAACACATAAACATCTATTTACTCTAACGGGTATATAATATTCTATTGTATGAATGGACTATAACTTATTTAACAAGACCTTATTATGGCCAGTTGGTTATTGCCAGTTTTCCAGGCTGCTGGGAACATCTTTGCTCCTATATTTTTGTTTATGTGTGTAAATATTTATGTAGGGTAAATTTCCAGAAGTACCATTGCTGAGTCAAAGGGAATTTTAATTGATATTGCGAAGTTACCTAAGCTAAAACACCTTTTCAAATGTCTGTTTGTCACTCTTACTCTTCTTGTGTAAACTGCCTGTTCATATTCGGTGTCCATTCTTTGGTAAATCTGGAGATGACTGAAGCTCGCTCAGAGGGGTCATGGCTGGACTTTTCAGCACTTCACCCTGTGATCCTTGCCCTCTCAGCCAGGTCTGCCTCTCTGGCCTTTGGGAAGGGGTGTGACTCACCTGGAAGTATCAGGTCAGAGTTCCAACCCACCATTAACCAAATGGGTCACAGTGAGCAAGTGATTTCACCTCTCCAAGCCTCGGTTTCTTCATCTATGCAAGAAGAGGTTGAACTGATGGAGTTCCACTTCTAGTTCTAGCACTCTGAGAGCCAAAACTCCATGGAGGAAGAGGAGCTTCGCAAGCAGAAAGCTGGACAGGGGCTTCAGGCATTGCCAAGGCAGAGATACTTACAGATGCCAGGTTCACTGCAGGTGAGGGTCCCATCTTCAGGGACAAGGTGGGAGTTGTACCTCTGGTTGGGCAGCACCTCTGTCATTTCCCCTGCCCGCTGCCTCTCTCCCATCTTGGTCTTCAAGAAAATCCCAAAACCAACATCTCCTCCATCTGACATAAATTGCCACCTGCAGGGGACATGACCCATTTAGTCAAAATTCTGTCTGGGTTCCTTCTTAGGGGTGCCGGCACCAGGGCTTCTCCTACCCTAGCCCACCCACCAGCACATATAGATAAAAGGCTCAGGTCTCCTGGAAGAGCCCAGGCCCCTACCTGAGGACGCAGCCAGGGAAGAGGATTTCATACTCCACTTGGTGGGAGGAGCCCCGGGAAATCTGCACGCTGTGTTCATACTGCTGTTTCACCTGGTCTCGCACATAATGCTTCTTGGGGATGTCACCCCCATAGTTGATCTAGAAGCAGAGCATAGAGTGAGCTGGAATGTGCATTTGAGCCAGGTTTCCCTATTCACCTCCAGCTCCTGGTGGACCTTACCTTGGATTTGCACTTGGGGTTTCCATCAGGATCAGTCATGGTGCCCCCATACTCCACAGGCACCTGTTCAGGGCTGATATGCTTCAGTAAAACCTCCTTCCAGTTTGCTGGCAGAAGAGGGAAGGAGAAAGATGTGTCTTACCACTAGGTGAGATTTCACCATAACCCTAGTGTTATACATTAACAAGGCAGGAAAAAACCCACCTGCCACAGTCTCCCCATTCCACCCCAAATACTGGCATTAGAGCACATGACACATGCGTAATCCTACTGGAGGCTCAGGAGGAGCCATCACCCAGAGGATGGACCTGCTCCAGACCAGGAGTCAGAGACCTGAATTCCTGTCTTCACTGCATCTGACCAGCTGAGTGATCATAGGCACATCACTGAGCCTGGTTCCTCCTGTCCCACACGGTTATGGTGGGAGTGAAATGAACTGAGTACTTGAGAGAGCTTTGTAAACTGTAAAGTGCCCTACATGTATGAGAGTATATTATCACTCCAGGGAGGTGATACAAACATTGAGTTACAAGCAAGAGGGGCGCAAAGAAAGAGGGGAAGGGCAATCCATGCAGGGGGAGCCACATGTGAATTGGGCAGGAAGGCCCAAGTCGACATACCCTGTCCTGGTCAGACTGAACTCCGTGAGGGTAGAACCACGTGTGTCCTTTTCCCCACTTTCTCCTGCACCTAATCAGGACTTAATAAGTGAATGCGTCACTGCAGAGTGACCTCTTAGATGGGTTCCTTTGGCTTTACCCCTGCCACAATTTCACTTCTGCTCCTACTGTTTTCTGCCAATGATTTGGCTCATTTTTTAAAATAACCAAGTCCTTTTCTGACTAGGTGAGTTTGACTCTAGATGGTGCCAAGAACCACTTCACCGATCCAAATTTGTAAGCAAATATCAGCCAAGTACAATATTTTGATAATGAAAACCTTTCCATGCTTACTATATAGATCACATATAGGCAGTGGCTGCAAGCTTGGGGCATAAGCCAGTGTCCTCTGTGCTGTGCTGGCTGGAAACCTAAAGAGATTGACCAGGGTCTGCCAGCCCTCAGATTTTTAAGGACCGGAGACCATGCAACTTCTGGGAACATAGCGTATATGGTCTTGGGTTGGTTTCATCTGCACTGCTAAGCTCCAGTGACCAGCCCTGAATGAATCTTTTCCCCCACCTCCATTGAAGATCCTGTACCTTTCCAGCCTGAGGCAGGTTTAGTTGAAAGAGTTTTAGGGGTGGGCAGGGGAACAGACTGAACCTCCCACACAGCTCTGCTGCCAGGAAACCAAACCATCTCATGCACATGGTGGGTGGTAGCGGCAGAAAAACCAAAAATCATAAAATCCTTTTGCCCAGATTTTATATTTTTCCCCCCAGTTCAGCTGGAGAGTTTGGACAATGCCCAGAGAATTCTTCCCATCTTACAGAGAGAGTAACTGAGGCAACAAGAGACAGAACTTGTTGTTGCCAGAGCTAGAACTGGAACCTAGGTGTCCTATCCTTTCCTGGTGACTTCACTCCACTCCCTGGGTCTCACTAGCACATGTCTGGGATATATATTTTTTTTTTTTTAGTTGAAGTCTCACTCTCACCCAGGCTGGAATGCAGTGGCATGCTCACGGCCACCTCAGCATTGACCTGCTGGGCTCTGGTGTTCCTTCCATCTCAGCCTTCCAAGTAGCTGAAACTACAGGTGTGCGCCACCATGCCCAGCTAATTTTTTAATTTATTGTAGAGACAAGGTCTCACTAAGTTGCCCAGGCTGGTCTCAAACCCCTGGACTCAGGCAGTCCTCTTGCCTTGGCCTCCCAAAGTGCTGGGATTACAGGTTTGAGCCACCATACCTGGTCTTTTTTTTTTTTTTTTTTGAGTTGAGGTCTCACTGTGTTGCCCAGGCTGGAGTACAGTGGCATGATCATTACAATCATAGCTCACAGCAGCCTCGACATCCTGAGCTCAGGTGATCCTTCCAACCTCAGCAACCCAAGTAGCTGGGACTGTAGGTGCATGCCAGCATGCCTAACTAATTTTTTCACTATGTTGTCTAGGCTTGAACTCCGAGGCATAAGCAACCCACTCGCCTTGGCCTCCCAAAGTGCTGGGATTATAGGTGTGAGCAACCGTGCCTGGCCAGATCATTACTTTTAATGTCACCTAAAGGTGAATATTCAGAAACCAAAAACCCTGTTATTTACCCCCAAGTTCAGCTCCATAGGTGGCATCCATGAGCCTGTCCCTATCTACCTTTCTAGCCCTTTCTCTCACCACTCTACTTTATGCTCCAATAAAACTGAACTCTCGCCTGTCCCTGGCTGGCTTGATTCCTATGTGTCCTCCTTGATGGCTTTGGGGTCACACTTTCCCTTCTGCCCTGAAGTTCTCCCTACTTCCCTGCATATCCAATCCCTGTTGGCCTATTTCTCTGCCAATCTCATTAATTACTTCTTCTCAGTCTCCCTGGTGGGCTCCTCTTTCTCTGCTTGCTCTTGAACTTGGCCATTCCCCAGGGTTCAGCCTCTGTTCTTTTGTGGCAGTCTTGTCTACTGTCAAGGTTTTAGCTGCTGCCTTTATCTGATAATTCCCAAGTCTCCAGACTGGAGTTTCCTCCTAAGTTTCAGATTCAAGTATTCCTGACATCTGTATCTCTCACAAATGCCTCAAACTCAGCTTCAAGCTTATTCAATCTTATTATTCTAGTCGTGTTCCCTGGTTGAAGGACTGTATCACTGTCTATTCATGCCACACACTAGGGAATCATTCTAGATTTCTCTTTCTCCCTTACTTCCTATATCAGTCAATTGAGTTGTGCTGCTTTACTTCCTAAATAAGTATAAATCCATCTCTTTTTTTTTTTTGGTAGAGACAAGGTCTTGCTATGTTACCTAGGCTGCTCTTGAACTCCTGGCCTCAAGCAATTCTCCCACCTCAGCCTCCCAAAGTGCTGGGATAACAGGCATGAACCACTGCACCTGGTCCTTTTTCTCCTTTCTATCCCTGTTGCTACTGCTGTGGTTCAGGCTTGCAACCCCTCTTGCATGGACTGTGGCAACAGTGAGCAAACTGGTGTTTGTCCTTCACAATCCTGCCAGCACAGCGCCCTCAATTAAAACCTGACCGTGGTACTTCCCTGCCAAAAACTCTTCTTTGGTTCCTAGTGGCCAGTAGGTCATGTCCCAGCTACTCAACACAGTGCCCTGGGTTCTCTGTGCCCTGCCTCCTGGTTCTGCCCTCTCCAGCCCCTTCTCCTGCCACCCCTGCCTTGTCTTCCCTGATAACGACCCGTGCTATGCTGTGTGAGGAGGTTTTTGTTCAATCTGCTCTTTCTGCCAAGCAGCGTCCCGCCTTGTTCCGTCTGGCTGACTCTTACCCACCCCATAGTATGCACTTAGGTAGGCATCACCTCCTCCCTAGTTCAGCAGGGTGAGTGTCGCTGCTTGTTTCTGGGAACTTTGTGGTTCTGCCTTCCTTACATTTACCATAGCGTGGTGATAGACAGCTGTGTGTGTCTCCTTTTCCAGGAGGCCAAGAGATGTTCAAAAGACTGTTGTCTTCATCTTTGTGGTTTGGGCACTTAGTTCTGAGCCTGGCACATACTAGGTGCTTGTCAGATGAAACCAGAGCTAGTTGCCCAGAACTGAATGAACCCTTTTCCTTCCTTGTGCCCTCCATGGCACCTACTGTGTGTCTTTTCTGGCTGTATCAGAGCTTTCCCTCTCTAGGTCTCTGTCTCTTATTATACTGTAAGCTCCTTGAAGGCAAGGACTGGAGTTTCATCATTTCTGAATTGACAGTGATGAGCCAAGTGCTTGCTTCTAGAATGTCAGAGAAAGAGTTCTTGTGAAAACAGGAAGGAAGGCCCCAGCTTTATCCCAGTTTGCTCCTGGGTCCCACTGCTGCCAAACCAGCAGAGGAAGTCTTCACCCTGGAGGCTACACTCGCACCTCTAAAGTCAGACCCAGTCTGGCCACAGACCATCCTGTGGAGTTGAGACTACTTTGAATCACTCACCTCCCAGGACCATGATCTTCTTCCGAGTATCCTCACTCAGGAAGGGTTTGATAAGGTTATAGGCCACAGGAAACAGCTTAGGGGCTGGAACAAAGACCAGATGATATGAGGCTGGATGCAGGGATCATAGCTCACCACAGCCTCAAACTCCTGAGCTCAAGCAACGCTCCTACCTAAGCCTTCCAAGTAGCTAGGACTACAGGCACATGCCACCATGCTCAGCTGATGTTTTAAAATATATTTTGTTGAGACAGGGTCTCGCTATATTGCCCAGGCTGGTCTGTCTCCTGGCCTCAAGTGATCTTCCTACTTCAGCCTCCCAAAGCACTAGGACTATAGGCATGAGCCACCATGCCCAACAGGAGGCAGTCTTCAGAACATGTCCTTAGACCCCTCCTTTGGCTCACTCTGCTTTAGTCTCCTTAATCTGCCCCTGTAATATTTTTGGCCCCTCTATACCATTTGGCTTTGTCACAGGAAATTCCCAACTTACCTTTAACAACAAAAAGACGCTTCAGTGTTTCAGGATAATTTTCCTCAAACATGCAGAGAAACTGTGGAAACAAAACCACTCTGATTCCAGCAGACGCAGACTTCTGTGCTAGGGAGAGAGGCCCTGCTTCCTCCAGGCTAGAATCTGCCCCCATCGCTTTACCCACCCCACAGGGCAGCCTCGCAACGGGGCCTACTCCACCTCCCTAATCCTGCCACTCACCTCTCCATAGGCTTCCACAGCAGGCTTCCAGAGATGCTTGAGGCCAAGCCCCTCGCAGTCATAAATCAAGGTGATGGTCTCTATCTTCTTCCCCAACTGCAGGAAACAGAGCAAGAAGTCACATCAGGCTGCCCCACCCAGAAGCCCACCCTGGTTCAGGGCAAATGCTGACTGCACCGTGCACCCAGAGCAACCAGAGTTGGTCTAGGCTAGGCCTAGGGTTTTCCAAATCAAATCAATCACCCCAGGCCGGAATTGTGACCTAGGCGAGTCACTCTTCCTGCCTAAGTCTCTGTGTTCTCATCCAGTAAATGACTGGGTAGCTCTAGATTACATCTGAGTCCCTTCTGTTCTGCAGTCTGGCCTGGCAGCCTCCCTCTTCCTCTGAGTCACTGTGAGCTCTGTGTGCAGTACCTGTGCAGACACGTATCGCTCAGGGACAGAGCCTATCCAAGGGTGCATCCATGTCTAATGCTTCCTGTATCCCAGCCCCCCAGGGTCTCTGCGCACGGTAGAGAGTAAACATCTCTCTCAACGTTTGTGGATAACATTGTTGGAATGTCCCCAAACTTCATCACACCATTTCACTGGATCTTTACAACTGCTGAAAGGAAGGAGAGAAAGACCACGGTGGCAGCTCTAGCTTGTTCTTCAGTGTTTTTCTCAGAGCATCAGCTGTCCTTATCTTTTATGAATACAGAGGCCAGTCATGGTGGCTCACACCTATAATACCAGCACTTTTGTAGGACAATGTGGAAGGATTGCTTGAGCCCAAGAGTTCAAGACCAGCCTAGGCCACATAGCAAGGCCCATCTCTAAACAAAAAAAAAAGAAAAGGAAAGGAAAGAATTAATGCAGGGTTAGAGAAGCACAGAATCTGAGATCATCTACACTGGTGCTACTCAGATTCTTACCTAAGGATATGTTGGTCCATGACAAAGATTTCACGGGTCCTCAGATGAATGAGAAAAATAACACTGATGTAGTATCTTTTTTTATAAAGCTAAATCTGTTTCCTTTAAAGCACTGCCTGTTATGCTAAGATTATTGCCATTCCTGCAGTTTTTGGTGCTAATTATGGCAATAATAGAAGGTAAGTTTTTGGAAGTCTTTACTTGGGAAAATAAAAATTTGGCAACATTATGTCAGTTTCTACAACGGAAATTTCACTGGTCTGTGAAATCGAAAAGTCTGGACCTCAGCCCTGAAGCTGTACTTCACCTTCTAGCATGGCATCCCTGCTCCTGCCTGAATGCCTCTGCTATGGCTAGCTCATCTCCAGCTGTGGCCATCCACTCACCTTTGCGGTCTGGTGGGCACACTCCTGCAGGAGCAGCTCACAGTCCCGCATCTTGGTCTTGAGCAGGTCCTGTTTGGTGACTGACAGCAGCAGACCTTTGGCATCCAGAGGTCCAATGACATCGTACCAGACTGGGCAGCCATCCAGGTCGTAGCCACACATGCCCCCTGACAGATACTGTTGGACCACCTGGGCAAAGACAGAGAGGAGACACCTGGCTGGCACACATCCATACCTTCTCTAGATCCCAGGACCTTACTCCAAGGTCATCAGTAGCTCCCTCCACATCCCAGCCCTGGGTGCCAACAGATACTCATTGTGGAAGCCATCAGGGCTCCCTTGGCATTGTCAGACCTTTCCTCTGAGGGTCCCAATCCAATAGATCTAAGACACAGGGTGTATGTCTAATAGGCCTAGCATAGGAATGGGGCAGGATCATTTGTCCTCACCTCTGGAGGCTGCCAGCTAATGATGTTGTCAATGTCCTTTTGCTTTCGGAACTCCACATGCTGCAAATACACAATCAGGAATTTTAAAAGGCATGAGTGGGAGGTAGTTTAATTGGCATCTAGCAATATGTGACAGCAGAATCAAACCATCAGACCATAGAAGGCAACAGGCAGGAGTGGACAGAAGGCCCTGCCTGTTTTAGGGGTCTTAGCAGAACAGATTATCATTCTTGGCTGACCCAGAACCGTGAAAGCCTACGGTTCCAGGGAAAGGAATTCACTTTGTCCCAGAAGGATAAGGCAACAATGGTCGGCTAATACTCAAGATATGTCACACACCCCAAAGTGGGTGGGGGTGAGCAAAAGAAGTCCAAGCAAGGCACAACCCTTCTGGGGAAGAATCAAGACAACAGTGGGACTTGGAGCCAAATGGGTCTCACCTTCCGGAGCATGCCCTCTGACTTCTGCAGGTCGAAGTTTCTTGCTGTAACAGGGAAACGTGGTCAGAGTTAGGCCAGCAACCGGGGTGTCCCAGGATGGGGAGATTTTCCTATTCCCATGATGGGGCCAGTTCCTCTTGGTCATGACTCTCAGATTATCCCAACTGCAGAAGCTCCTTTGAGAACCTTCACCAAGGGCTTCTGGAACAACACAGGCCCTGGACTTATGGGGAGAGCCAGGCAGTTGGGGGCAGTATTGCAACTTCAAGGTCAAAAGGGTTTTACTCCAGTGGATACAAAAAGCAGAGAGGTCTTATCTCTGCTCAGTGAAAGTGAACCCTGGACCCCCTTATCATTTGGCCCTCTCCTCTGACACAAAGTTTATCTCCTCCATAGTCCTGAGAACTTGACCCATAGTTCAAAGATGAACATAGCTGCCCCTGTAATCTGAGGAAAGCTGGTAGAACATCTCAGTGGGATAGAGAGGTTGATAAACCTCCAGTCCACCTCGTTACCTCCTCAGAGGACCCACACACACCCTAAAGGAACACAAAGGGCCCTCCTCCCAGGGCCCCTGACAAGTATCAGAATTCAAGTTCACCTGGACCAACTATTTATTTTATGCATGAACCCCAACTCCTCAAGCTTAAACACAAAGACCTTACTGCCTTCAAGGCCACCTGCTCCCAGGTTGTCATAGGTGCCATTTGTACTCAGTTTTCATTATACTGAGCTGAGATCCACTCCAAAGACACTCAGAGAGCAGAGTTACTTCCTCAGTCGCGTGACAGCCCTTCCAAGACCGGCAAATTCTATACACACTGAGTCTTCCCTACGTTCATGCTGCCCATTCTTGGAGCCTTTACCAAGGCCCATAGCTTGGTTTCAAGTCCATGCAAAAAGCTTCCCTTTGAATGTTTTCCAGTTTGCCAATGCCCTTCTCAGAGTGCCAGGCTGAGGAGGGAGGATCACTTGAGCCCAGGAGTTCAAGGCCATCCTGGGGAGTAAGATAGCAAAACCTAATTTCAATAATAATAATAATAATAAAAGAAATAATTGGGCATGATTTGTATTTTAATGTTTTAGGATACAATTCTACATTACAACACAAACTCTGCTAATCTAACACAATGGAATTTCCTGTATTATTTCTATGTCTGTTGATACATAAGAGCAGAACACCGCACCAGGTGTTGTCTAAGAATTGTCTCGGCAACATTCACACCTTTAACTCTGGTGGAGTTTAGAGTCAACTGAAACCCCCAAATCCTTTTCACCTGTGCAGCTGCTAGGCCTCTGTGTCTTATGTGGAGAGGTGGGAACTTAGAGCCTTTCCTATCAAATTCCATCCTGTTATGGTCAGCTTCATTTTATCCTTCAAAGAGTTTGTGAGATCCAGATCGTACCAATTTTCCCCCCTGACCTATGGACTGTCCCTTCCAATATGTCCTTTGTGGATTTGATTGGCATCTAGATCTGCTGACAGCCCTGGAACTTGGGCCAGACAGGCTGCCCTCTGGACTGTCACTGGTCCCTTAATCATCGCTCCCCAGGGGTGCCCAGAACATTCCCTGACTACTGTCATGAAGTCCAGTCCTCTCTCCTGGGCCCAGAGGGGGCCTCCAGAGATTTGGCCAATGCCACACCCATCAATGGTGCCAGACACATACTGGTAGAACTGACTATCATCCTTCCTGTGCTATCATAGCAGCATGAGACAGCTTTTAGAGGAATACAAGGGGACTCAAAAAACCACGGAATTATCCTTTGGAGGATGGGCCCCTTGTAGCGCAGGCTTCCCCTGCTAGATTAGTGTTCTAGGAACCTATTGGCATCAGTGTACCACTTAGCATTGTTGTGAGAGGTGATTTGCAGAAGAAACATCCCAAGTTGTGGCAAACAGGTGACAGGCTCTTCCACCATGACAACACACCTGCCCACACCGCACTGAGTGTTCAGCAGTTTTTTACCAAAAACGGTGCCCCACCCTCCATATTCACCTGGGTGATTGGAAAACATTTTGCTGATGTGAGAGAAGTAAAACAAAAAAAGGCAGAGGCACTAAAGGGCTTCAAAATTAACGAATTCAAAAACTTTTGAGTAGTGGAAAAAACATCTCTAGGTAGCTGTATTGCATGAAATGGAAAGCACTTTGAGGGAGACAGAAGTTTAAACATGTAAGAATAAATACACAGCTTTATAAATCAATTCCAGGATTTTTGGGTCCCCCTCATATGATCTGAGTTTGCCTCCCAACTCTTCCTCTTCTCTGTTTGACCTTGGACAAAATACTACCCAGTTCTGATCAAACCATCTAATAGGCTAGAAACTCTTGGCCCATTCAAGGCAACATCTTCACATGCAGGAGGAGTCAGACCATGAAAATGAGAATCTCTGTTAAGAAGGATACCCCTACTGGGAAGAAAGCCCTTATCTTCCTAGGAAACAGGAGTGCTGGTGAACTGTGAGCCCCCTTATCTCAGGGGAGGCTCTCCAGTTAACCTTTATCTGCCAGGGTCCAACATCCAGCGTCTTCTTCAAGGGCTCTCTCCGAGTTGCCACTTGCTCCTGATACTGCACCTGGTGCCTCCCCCAGGGCTGAGTCAGGCCTCTCTGGGGTCCTGCTGGCCACCCTAGTCAGAGGCAGCTCAAAGCATGGCTTGGGGTGCTGCAAGAGAAACCAGCCTAAGGAGCAGCCGTCCTGGGCTCTTGCTGCCCATATCTAGTCCTGTGAAATGCAGAGATTCAGCCCTGCTCTGTCTCCCTCACAAGGTTCCACCACTTCTATGTTTTATCTTACTGTCCGATCCTCCTTGCTGGGGTGCTCAGAACTCAGCCCCAGGCTAGGGGAGGCAGTAGAAACTCATGTACTTGCTCTCAATGTCCTGGCGCCAGGTAGAAACTGAAGGCTGAACGGGGAAGGAAAGGAGAAGAACCCTGGAACTCACACCTAGGTTAGAGACTCTGCCAGCGTGAGGTTTGCAAATGTTTCCCTTAGAATCAAAAGGAGAAAAAGGTTTTATGTTTTTTTAAAAAAAGGCAACAAAAGCCCTCATTAAAATTCATATTAGGTTCTGACCAGGCCTAAGCTCCTGCCCAGGAAATGTGAGGCACAAACAAAATGCAGAAGAGACACTTCCTCTATTTTAGGAGGCTGAGCTTGGCTCCAAGGAGCAGCAGTGGCTTACTGGAAAGGATGTTAGCCAGGAGTCTGGAGTCCTAGGTTTCTGCCCTAATTCTGTTTTACCTTAACTGTGCAACTTCGTATAAGTCCCCTTCCCTCTCTGTGCCTATTTTCTCATCTGGCAAAGGAGGATGACCATATTTTGATATTCCTGCGAGGGGGTGGGTAGTGCCTGAGGAGTGTGCATGGTGAACTCTCAAGCCATATGCAAAGAGAGAGTTACCCCAGGACTGGGGAGTGGGGATGCCTGGGAGAACAGCTGCCAGGACCCCAGGCCAGGCCCATCTTAGATAAAAGAGAGCTCCTTACTGTTCAACGGCTTTGGGAAACCACACTGCCCCACCCGACAGCAGCTCCCTAGTTGGTTGGATAATTTTGCAGCTGGCCCTTTAAGAAGGCCATGTCTTCCCACTCTCTCCACCCACCAGCTTCTAGCTGCAGCCCTTCAGCACATGCTGGGCCAAAAGTTTCCTCCAGCTTGGACAGATTCCACTGCCGCCCCCAAGCTGCCCCTCTACCCTCTCTGGGTGGTGGGCTGGTGTGGGGGGGCGTGGGGGGATGGAAGCTTTTTTTGGAAAAAGGGCAAGTGACACTTCCAGAGGCACACGAGGCTCCACGTGGCTCTTCTGGATGCGTCAGTCCTCAAGTGCTTGCTAGCAGTCTCTCAAAAGCATGCCAGCTCTATTACATTTCTGGAAAGAGAAGGAAAATACATCTCTTTGCCTGTCCCAAGACTCCTAGGGCCTGCATGTGTGTATATATCCATAAAGAAATAATAGGGCTGGACATGGTGATACACGCCTGTAGCCCTAGCTACTCGGGAGGCTAAGGAGGAAGGATCACTTGAGCCCAGGAGTTCAAGATAATGAGACCTCATTTCAAACAATAATAATAATAAAAGAAATAACAGGGCATGATTTGCACTTTAATGTTTTAGGATACAATTCTACATCACAACATAAGCTCTGCTAATCTAACACAGTGGAATTTTCTTTATTATTTCTATGTCTGTAAATACAGTTGCTATACAGGAGGGAAAAAAAGTGTGTCAAAAGAACCAGGGAGGGTGGCATGTGACCTGAATCACAGGAGAGGAGAAGAGAGAAAAGAATGAAAAGATCTCAGGGGTTGGGGGACAGGGCTGAGTCTGACCCCGATGCTAATAGAGACATGTAAATTTCACTGCTACTTGCAGAGTTCTGTCATGACATGTCTTGCAATAGGAAGGGCACCTGTCTTGTCCTGTTCTCCTAGGAAAGATTTTTTGCCCTCACCCAGGTGCCACAGCCAGGCCAGGGCAGAGATGAAACTGGAACTGAGGCTCTGGACATGGCAGTGTTTGAAGGAGACTTCAAACACTCAGGCTTCCCATACACACTGCCCCTCCCCTTCAAGCTGCTCGAAATGTCAACAAGGGACCTGCTGTCCCAACAGGGCACAGCAGGGCCAACCTCTCCCAGGGGCCAGGACTTGGGTTCTACACCCCACTCTGCCTTCAACCTCCCACATGGCTAGGGCCTTTCCCAGCCTGGCTCTTCCTCGGCTCATTTCCCCAAGTCCCTCAGCAGAGCGTGTTTTCAGGTAGATGGAAAGGACTCTGGACTGAGAGTCAGCAGACCTAGGACTCTTGTCTTCTCTCTGCCTGTAGCACACTCAAAAGTGTGACAAGTCACTTCACCTCTCTGAGCCTTAGTGTCTTTATCTACTCACTAGGAGGGCTGAGGTTATGTAATTGCCAAGGGCCCTTTGGCTTAAAGGTTGAACATCCAGATTCTCAGATTGCCAGGGGCAGGGTTTTCAGAGGGTGCCATTCTGTCACCCAGAACAAACCCCTGCCCCAGCCTCCCACAGCCCCTCTTCCCTCACCTCGGAGCCAGCGCAGGAGAAAATAGTCATCTGGATTCGGCAGGGTGGGCAGCACATCCTGGACATTCTCCCGAAACTGTAGGGAGAGGCAGCTGGGTGAGTGGTGGGGCCCACCCTGACCACCTTCTACTGGACCCCTCTTTAGCCTGGTCAGACTCTGCAGAGCCTGGCTGGGCACTTGCGTTGCATGGGCCACCATCTTGTCAAGGGGTGCCAGGTAGCAGGGAAGGAGGGGGGAAGGGAATGAGACACTGCTGTGCCTCACCACAAAGGCTTCTACACTCCAGTCTGGTGGGCGGGCAGATGTGTTCCCACCTAACTGTGATCATAGGCACGCTGGCATGGGCCATAGTAAACATTATCAGTTTATCAAGCACTCCCCATGTTCCTAGTGCTGATCTTGGCACCATATCTTATTCACTCCTCACTCAGAGCCCTTAGAGGTATTATTGTCCCCATTTAGCAGATGAACAAATTAAAGCTCAGAGAGGCTAAGTAACATGTCCAGTGTCAAACAGTCAGTCATGAGCAGAGCTAGGGTGCAAACCCAGGTCTGTCTGAGTCCAGAGTACATGCTCTTTCCACCATGGTCTTCTGTCCCCTAAGTAACGGAATGGGGAGCCATGTGCTAGGGGAGCAGATGGAAGAAAGAGGGTGGTCTCATATGGCTTCATATAAAAAATGGCATTAAGCTGGGCTTGAAGGACTTTAGAGGCAGTAGGGGGAGGGAGGCAGGCAACCCAGGGGGAAAGTGCAGGTAGTGCCAAACAAAGGAAGTGGACAGTGACCTCAAGGGACAGCCACACCCATCTCCAAACTCTCACTACCCTGTAGGTAAGCAGGCCCCCGCATTCCCTCCTCAAGCCTCCGCCTCCCAGTCACTCACCTTTCCCTGGTCACTGACCTATAGGACAGCCCCAGTAGGGACCAATGGGAGTGCTTGACTGCCCAGGTCAGCTGGGGACTCAGGCCATTCCTCCTCACAGACTGGCTCCCAGTGTTCCACCCCTGCTCATCCAAACTGTAGGCATGAAGCCATCCCTCACCAAGGACCCTACTCAGCCCCTGGTCTCCAGTCACCACCTAATCCCTTTTCTGCCTGACTTCCCCTGCAGGTCAGCAGTAAAGTCTGAAGCCTCCCTATCCAGCCTTCCTGGGATGAGGGAGGCCCAGCCTGGGACAAAGCCTTCATGGGGCTGGTGCCTCCCTACTGCTGCCCTGGCGTTGACATCTACCCCCACCCCCTCTCCCAGCAATGGAAAACTGCCCAGCTGTGGAGCCTCCAAACTGTAGGGCTGGACCCAGTCAGCTCTGGGCTAGAGAACAGCTGACTCTCCTCCCCAAGGGCAACAGATTCAGGTGGTGGAGAGGGGGGTCCAGCCTTACTGTTGCCCCTTCCTCTGCCCAGGAGCCAAGGTGAATCCAGCCACACCCCTTGCCTTCAGAGGAGCATCTACCTATGTCCCGAGCCAGGCAGGGGTCTGAGTTGCAAGACAGGGGATGGCTGGTCTCAGCTCAAACTCTCCCCAACCCAGTGAGTCACCCGGGAACGCAGAAATCACACAAGGAGATGTTCCCTTTAGCATCATCTGTTCCAACCTCCTCATTTCATTTCATCTAGGATCAAACGGGAGAGGACAGGGGTTTGTGGTTTTTTGCCCAAGGTCGCACAGCAGCTTGGGGCCGAAGCAGGGGTCATCTGAGTCTCCTAGAAAGCTGTCCAGGGGCCTTTCTATCGCGCCACCGCCCCTGCAAGAGGAAAACCTCCCGGAAATGGGAAGAAACTTGGTGCCCCAGGGCCCTGCTGCCAGTCCCGAGGATGAATGTTGCCTTTGTGCCCTCAGCGGCCTCCGAGGATTTCCAAGCAACCACTTCTTCCCGGGTGGCACCGCCACGCTGCTCGGGCTGGGGTGGCCAAACTTCCCGGGCCTCCGGGGACGAAGGGAGGGAGGGCCGTCCGCGCGGCGCGGGGCTGGCAGGACGG